GCCGCTGTTGAAACTGATCAGTTTCAGCAGCGGCTGAATCTGGATGCCAGTTCCGACTTACATTTTATTCCACACATGGTTGGAAAAAAATTAGAGGGAATACAGGCAGTCCCCGGGTTACGTACAAGATAGGGACTGTAGGTTTGTTCTTAAGTTGAATCTGTATGTATGTGCACTTGAAGCATGTGCATATGTGCGCCACCAGTAGAAAGACATACTGCTAGCTATGGGAGCTTTGCTAATCAGCTGGATGGCTCCTGAATCTCTCATGAGTAGCTGCCCAAGTGCTCAGCTTACAGAGAGCACTGCTTGAGACCCCTGCAATGGCAAGGAAATGATTTAGTGAGATATATTCAGATAATTCTGGGAAATGCCACACCCATATCCTGCAAAGAAAAGTGAAAAATCCATAAGGACACTACCAATCTGATATGGGGTAAAATTTCTTCCCATCACCTCAGACCCTGACCACATGAACAAGAATCAGCTAGCCAAGCACCTGAGAAACACAAAGTTTAGTGCCACCACACACCTTGACCTACCTTTACCAGTGTCTCTCCTCTTTGATGCTTCAGAGGAAGGAGATTAATGCATTCTAGGAGGAATTTTTTAGGGTTATAAGGTGAATCTATTCCTGATTCATGTAATTGGCCAGCTGAAACGCTGAAGCATGAACTTTCGGAATATAGGCATAAACTGAAAGTGAGCTCCACGGCTGCTCAGACCTGTTCCTTACCATTGCAAGCAACCTCCATATGCAATCACACTCATAGATTTGTCCATCTCTATCTTAAATATCATTAATTTTTGTCCCCACAACTCCTGTAGGGAGGCTATTCTGGAACCTCACTGCGTTGAGGATTAGAAGCTTTCTTATAATTCCCAGCATGAATTTGTCCATGGCCAGTTAATATCCACATGTTATTTTGCTGACATTGTGTTTGAGCTTAAATAGCTCTTCACCCTCCATGATATTTACCTCCCAATATAAAAAGCAATCATATCTCCTCTCAGCCTGCTTTTTGCTCAACTGATTGGGTAAAGCTCTTCAGCTCCTCTCGTACAGTAGACTTCTAGTCCCTTGATCCTTCCAATAGTTTTTCTCTGCATCTGTTCTAGTTAAAATTAAATATACAAGTGTGTTACCGTTTAAATAGTTTCTATTACGGTTACACACCATCTTCCAGCCCTGCTCCTGGAGAGCTGGCTGATGCCCTGCACTGCTGGCTCTGTATCAGGGTCTGTAACGCAGGGCAGCAGCTGGCTCCCCAGAAGCGGGGCCAGCATAAGCCAGCTTCCGTCACACACCACCTCCCGGCTGCCAGCCCTTCTGCAGAACCCGCAATCTGTAACCACTAAGTTTTTTATTGGATACAAGGTTATCTTTAAGTTTGACACAATCAACTCTGGATTAAACAAAGACTGTGAATGGCTTGCTAACTACAAAAGCAGCTTCTATTCTCTTGGAATTCACACCTCCAGATCAGCTGCTAGAAGTGGGCCTCATCCTCCTTGATTGGATCCACCTGGTCATCTCCAGCCTGATCCTGGCCTGCATATTTATTCCTGCCTCTGGAAATTTCCACTACATGCATCTGACGAAGTGGGTCTTTGCCCACGAAAGCTTATGCTCCTACACTTCAGTTAGTCTATAAGGTGCCACAGGACTCCTCATCGCTTTTGCAGATTCAGACTAACACGGCTACCCCTCTGATACTTAAGGTTACATTATTAACTGTGTTTTTACATCCCCATTTTAAATTAATTTTTCTTGAACATAATTGACAAGAATTGTACATAGTATTTCAAATGAGGACTCACCATTGCTATTTTGGGATAATTTATACCTATTAGTAAACAAACTTAGAATGAATACTGTCCTCAAGCATGGCTACAGAGTGCTGCTAATGCATACTTACATGGGTGATGTCTTGTTTCTTACCTTTTTCACATTTGTGTTCTTTTGCTTTTTACTCTCCCATTGTATAGACGTTGTACTTTGATTTTTAGTTATTGTAGCCATTTCTCCTCTGCAGTTTCTCTTTTCTTCAGTATTGAATGTGTGTATAACATCCTCATTTGTTTGTTCTCCACTCATTCACTTCCTCCCTCTTCTTTTCATCTCTGCCTTCCCCTCATATGTTCTTTGATTTTCCCTAATTTTTCTCACATTTTGTTGATTTTGATGCATCCCCTACCTCCATGATCCATTTTTCTTTGAATCTCTTTCTCTTGTTTTAGCTGCACAACTTTCCCCACTTTTTTCATTACACACCCATTCCTCCCTTGCCTCTTTGTATCCTCCCTTAGTTTTCTGAACATATGTACCCTGCTGCTTGTGGAAGCTCTTGAACATCTTTTGGATGCTCCTCATATATTTTTGTGCATGCCATTTCATTAAGGATGTCAATGGGCATCTCTATGCTCCTGATTAAAGGGAACATTGGTATGATTTCTTATTTCTTCTGGCTCTCATTATGTGAATTGCACTTCAGAAATTCTGTTATACGTAACCTGCTTGTCATAACTTACACCCCCTTTGTTACTTGTGAATTTTGGCCACCTCAGTTGATAACTGTAAGCTGGCATGGAAATACCGGGAGGGGGGCTTTGCAGAAAAAGCAAATATCTGAAGGTAGGAAGTAAATAGGGTGCAAGTAGTTGTTTGCTTGTTTATGTGACATGCCATTCATATTTTATTCTTTGTTCTATAATTTTAAAGTATTTTTCTTTCCCTTTCAGGTTGTAGGGGGCCTAGATATCCACAAAAAGATGGTGGTAGATGTGTGACTCTTTGTAGGGCACCACCCAACACTTTTGCTTTCTTCTCCATCTCTGAAGATCTGCTCAAGACGTCCAGCAACGCTCTCTGTGTATTTAAATGGAAGTATTTTTCTCTGTGAAGCCACATTTTCCAACATGAGCCTCATGAAGCCAACTAAGTGTTATTGAACTTTATTCTCTCAATAACTCAGTGTAGCACTTTAAAGTCTGAAGGACAGCAAGATGGAAAGAGCATATCAGTGTGGTGGAGAAAGGGAAGGGGTTGGCTTTTTAATTTATTTTTCTTCATCTTTTATAACAAGGAAATATCTATCTATATATATGCTTGTCTATTTATATATAGATATATATGTAGCTTTCTATATGTAGTAGTTAGATGGGCTTTAATTTAATATACTTGATTCAGAAACAAAACTAGAGTACAAAGTGCCAAGCAGAACATTAACAGTTCAATATATGGATATACATCCTTCCTATGCAGCTCTTTGTAATGCCATTCACCCATCTATCCATCCATCTATCTATCAAGATTATATATATACAGTTATATATATATATATATATATATATATATATATAGTAGAAGAATGTAAAAATTTAAAAGAGGTGTTAGGTAAACTGTTTTCCTTTTCCTGCGATTGTTGAGATGTTTCTATATATTGACTGGCTGACAAAGCATTGCTTCCTGTTAATTTACCTTAATTATCTTTTTGTATAACAGGAGACTGTTTGTTTATACCTGTTAATATATTATCAGGGACTGTCTCTTTACTAAATAATTTGTAGTACAGCTCTGCTTAACAGTATGAGGAAAATATAGTTTAATGCTAATGCCAAGAACTTGTCCTTGTATCCATATAGTAACTGCAGCATGCATATATGGTCACTTAATTCTGCCACCTACTAATGGGGATCAGTTGCATCTATTAAATAGCCCTAAAGATCTATAAATCAGTTGTGAGATTAATTTGATACAACAGCTGAAAATGTTTGATGCAGTCATGATTTCTCTTGCACTTAGCTTAATGAAATTTAGAATTGATATAATTGTGCAGGATTCCCATTTACTCATTTTATACATTGCTTATGAAATTATAAAATGTTTCTTGACACTAAATTTGTTTCAACTGTAATAGTTTTCTTTCTGCATTTTAGTAAAGTACTACAGGTAGCATAAATAGCTGGCATTATTATATGTGTGTGTGTGTGTGTGTGTGTGTGTGTGTGTGTGTGTGTGTATGTATATATATATATATATCTATATCTAAAGAGATATATGTATATAGGATTCATACAGGAGGAAAATTTTGTTAACCTATGCCATAGAAGAGGAAACTTCATATTATCTAAATTTATATCTCTTCCTCTTCTCCAGTCCTTCACTTGGAGATTTTTTTTTTTTTAGATTTGTCCATATCATGCTTTCTAATGGATGGTAACTTGATATATTTGTGTGATATAAAAGTAGCGGGCCATGTTCTACAACTTTATATCATCCCTTCCCTTTTCTGCAATGGTACTATTGGCTGGAAGAAAAACACATTTACTAGATTTTAGGATAGATCTTTTCCTATATAGCAGTTTTCTATTAATGTTTTATAATCAGCAGTGGAAAGGGCAGGTTGTATGAGTCTACTTAAATGGAGTGTACCTGTCTGCCATAGCTGTTCCTTCAACTGAGTGCTGCACATCATGGGCTCTGTCTGTGAGAGAGAAATCCAGGTGCTTGGTGTCCTTGCATGACATGAAGTTTTGCATGTAGATCGAATTGAAATGTTCCTCTTGTTTACATAATTTGCATAATTTAAAAAGATAATGTTGCCAAACTTTGGTAAATGTTAATGTTCAAACAAAATCTCCACTACATGTAACTTTCTTCCTCTGGATCAGTACGTGGCTTATAATCCCAGCCAGTGGTTGTATCTGTTCCATTGTCAACTGCCATGTGCTCTGCTTCAAGGGGGAACTAGTCTTTTGTGAATTTTTTGTACATAAGTATTTGTTACAAACATTTTAGCAAATGCTTTCTATTTCTCTTACTTGCTTGTGCATATCTTGGCTGGCGTTATAGAAAATAGTGCTGTTATTTCCTTATTGGGAGGGGGATAAGGTTTTTTTAGTTTGTGTGGGGAAAATGGGTTATATTGAATGTTAGGTTTTTCCTCTGCATGCTGCATCATATGTTGTGGGAACTATAGAATCTTCATACTATATGAATAAAAAAATAAAATATTTGACCCTTGCCCTAGTACTCAATGTTTTTGTTGAGCTTTGTCAGGATGCTTAACTTTACATTTTAAAAAATTAATATTGAAGAACTCAGAATCCCCATGTTGTCGTTAGTCTAAAGAAATTGGTTAATCTTACTATAAAATTCCTGGTGAAAGCTTTGGATATTAGAAGATGCAAGCTGTCAGTGGGAAAATTGTCATTTTCAGGTGTAGTGTTTCACTTACAGCCTATTCTATTAGCCTCATTAGTTCAGGCAGTATTGAGATTTTTTTTCCTCTCCCTTTAAGCCCCCCCCCCTTTTTTTCTCCCCTCATCTGAGGAAGTGGATTTTGCCCACATAAGCTCATTATACTATAGGTAGGTTAGTCATGTAGCATCTTAGACTTTTTTTAAATCATTGGAGTGATGTTCTGTTTGCAGTGTGCTGTGTCTTAGAAGTTCTCTCAATTCTCCTTTATTTTTGTTGCCTGAGAAAATACCAGAGCTGCTTAAGCTTCTCTGTACATGGTTGGATAGCAATTTGAAGACTGCTTTTTAATTACTCCATTTGCTACAGTATCTGACATCTCAACCTGATATTTGAAGATGCACTAAGAGAATGTCCCTACTCATCATTTGTAGACAATCTCGCTGTGACAGTGGAGGCTCATACTTCTCCTTACCAGTTCTGTACAGTGTGATCTCCATCATGTAGTATGCTAAGCATCATGACAAGTTTTTGGGCTGTAGCTCATATGCACAGGCTCTACTTCCTTCCCCCTCTAGGAATTTCATAACTCAAAGTAATAAACAAAAAAATTAATGACTGTTGCTGCTGGTCCAAGAACTTCCTTCTGAAACCAATGGTCTCCTAACTCTAAATCAGGCCTACTCAGCACATGGCTGGTGCACAATAGTTTGGACTGTCATTGCTCATTAAAAGTTCTGTCATATGGGTGGAAATCAGGTAAATATTGCATTTTATTAATATCAGCAGAAGTGACAAATGGGGTCTGCATGTTGTGTAGTCTTGCCTTAATTTTTGAATTCATGCCCATCACTGTGAAAGCTATTTGCATATATATCTGCAACCACACTTAAGCTGCAGCCCCCAGAGCTTCCAAAGTTGAGTAGCCTTGCTTTATATTGATAAAAATAAAATTAACCACTTTTAGTGATAAAGTATTAATCTTTAATGAACATGAGGGTTTAAATTAAATTACTTAAATAGTGTCAGACATCTGAATGAAAACAGACTGCAAAAGCAGCCCTATTTTCTAAGCATCCCAATCAAGTTGAATGAGGCTGAGCACCTGTATGCTTCATGCAGCACTTATTTCTATACACATTAACTGTGTATTAAGATCTCCTGCAACAATATCTGTATAGTGGATACAGAGTCCCAAATTTGAGTCCGAAGTCTTAGAATCTTTCAGCTGCTCTGCTTGCTACAGCTCTAATATTGCCATAGACTTTTGATGGAGGGCTTCCTGCAAAGAAGAGAGACATGTTATAATATTGAGAGAGAACCATTAGTACAAACTCTGCTGTAAGATCAGTGCTGTTTATGAAAACTTAAGGTGGCTGCATTATTGCCAAGATAATCTGCCCTGTGTGACAAGAAACTCCAAAAGAAATTATCAGTTTGCCAACAGATTAAGGAAACATCTGGTGCAAAATGTCAGATTCTTACATAAGAGGAGACCAACATTGCAAAGTTTCATTGAAGCACAAATAGTTGCATTAAATGATAGATTTGTTGTTTACAAGAGACTTTCCTGCCCAAGTCATTGCTAGCTAATGGGCAAATTATATACGGAACACTAAGTCTGTGCTAACTTTTCATTGTATTAGTTTTAACTCATCTGTTTTGGTAAGCGCTAAACAAAAGCCAGAAATAGAAAAGGTCACTAGTGAGTGTAGTCCTCTTCTCTGCCTAAAGCACGAAGCCAGGGAGGTGTGTACACAATCAAGGAACAATTGTTATCTTTACTCTGCAACAAAACAGAGTACCTACAGGTGGGATTGTTTCCAAAGAGTAGCAGTCAATTAGGTGAGTAAATATGGGTTCAGATTTAGAATAATCTTCTGGCAAAACATTTAAGCCTTACTTAAAATAGCAATGATTGCAGTTTCCCCTTAAGTAAAGATCTTACAACAAATCAGTGTTCTTGGACTGAGGTTAGTTACCAAGGCTTACCTAAAATGAGATTGCAAATTGCTGTGCGTGCCATCTTAATATTCTGAAAAGATCCTAATATATGAATTTTCCTGTAAAACAACCAAAGCAGTGTTTTTTAAAGGTTTTCCCTTTAAGCATGTAGTTAATGTTACAGCATTCAAGTGAATGAGATTCAAGAATGAACACACTAGATCTTTAGAATCCACTTGTACTTTCTACATTATTAATTACAACATTTGTAACATGACTGAAGTGGTGTTTTCCTTTTCCTTCATGCTACCAGCAATAGGTGGAATTTCTTTCCTCTAGTATTTAGGCATAATTTATTTCCTATAAATGTAAGGATTAGTTCACTTGATGGTGCCAAATTTGAAGAGGTCAAGATTTTGAGCTGTTATGATGTAACCAGGTTTAATAGCAGTGACCAGAGCAGAAACTGATCTGAAAGTCCAAGACTCCATGTTGCATGTAAAGACACTAAGCATGCCAAACAATGAATTCATTATCTACCCTTCTGAATACAACATATACATACTCACATCTATGGATGCCAACTATATATTTGCAGTTAGTACCTGAAGATGCATCTTAAAACACAAACCTTCACCTGCAATTTCTTTACTACAGTGGTTCTCAACTTGTGGCCCACACCACTGTGGACCATGTGACATCCTTAGGGCCATACAGCCCACACCTCCAGCCTAGAGCCCCTCCCCAAACTTCAAGGCCCTCTCCTGCACCCCAGTTGCACCCCCAGCCAAAGCCCTCACTCCTGTATGCCAAACTTGTCCCAGCCCTGAGCCCCCTCCACACTCAAAGCCCCTTAGTCCCACCTCTGTCACAGGAGTTGTGTGCACGAATATGAAGGTGTAACCTCCACCCATCACCTCCATATTGGTACACACTAATTCCACTCAAGGGTGGGAAAAACTAGAGGGAACACTGAACCACTGATGTAGCGGGTATGCCTTGTGTCTACAAAAGAGGGAAAAGGTAGAGTTGCACTACCCCTGCAAGGTTCTGCTTTAAAGTGTCCTCAAACATGGAAGCATTAGAACAAATCCCCAACATCCTGCTG